GTGCTTTGCTTCCCTGTCAGCAATAATCCTCCCGCCTGGGGCCACCTTCCTGTAGCTGGGTGGCTTCCCAGCTGTCCCCCTCCCGCAGCCCTGGTGCTCATCTGTGTGTGTCATTTATGGGCGGGCACTATGCCGCCAGCTTGTGTTGCGGCTGTTGGGTGCCTTGCTGCCTCCCTACCCCGCCCCCCCAACTCCGTACGTTGGGAGGGCAGGGCCCAGGGGATTCACAGCCTGCATGCTGGGCGCCTGGGGGCGCTGTGCTCTCCAGGGCCCTATGAGCATGTCTCCAAGGTGGGACATGGGACAAGCCCCTAGACAAGTGTGGAGCTGCAAGGAGCCGGTGGGTAGCGGGGTGGGGGGTGGAGGGGAGGGAAGATGGAGGATCCAGGGTGAGCTGAGGGCTACCAGGGGGCCTGAAGGGTACTAGGATGAGCTGAGGGGCACTAGGGTGAGCTGAGGGGTGCCAGGGGGCTGAGGGATACCAGGGTGAGCTGAGCAGTACCAAGGGGATCCAGCGTGAGCCAAGGGGTGCTGAGGAGCCTAGAGATGCTGAGGGGTTCCAGGGGGCCTGGGGGGAGCCAAGGGATCGAGGGTGAGCTGAGAGGTGCTGAGGGGTGTCAGGGGGTGCTGGGGAGGAGCCAAGGGGAGCCAGTGAGCCTGACAGCAAGTTTCAGAGGCCCTGCAGCTGGGGGCCAGGGCGAGGCTAGCCAGGGAAGGGTGGGCTGGTGGGTGAGAGAGGGAGATGTGGCGCTCCCCTCTGAAGAGTCTCTTGCTGTGACCTTGGTTTGGTGCTGCTTTGGGGCAGGCTGGGCATCAGCCAGGAGTCTGGGTGCTGGGCTGCAGCCAAAATAAACAGGCCGGACCAGCCCCACGCTCTGTTTCCCAGGCCCTGCCTGGGCCCCTGGGAGCCCGAGAGGGTGTGGGGCCCAGCGGTGGCCCCGTAGGGGAGACCCTGGTGGCCTCCTCACCCTCCTGAGAGCTGGCCTGTGCAGCGGCTGCTGCCCCAGTGGGGGGCGGGGCAGCGGGCCTAGGACTGCCCTCCACTCCCCTTGCTGGGCCTGGGGCGGCCATCACTGTGTGCGCCAGGCCCCACCCCAGCAGTGTGCTGTGTGTCTCTTCTCTAAGACGAAGTTGGTGCAGAAGGCCATGGACGAGAAGCGCTTCGATGAGGCCATCCAGCTCCGGGGCAGGTGAGGCCCGGGGGGACATTTGGGGGCCTGGCTGGCTCATAGGGCCCTCTCACAACCAGGCCTGGGACACGGGCCATGCCTGCCACTGTGAGGCAGAGACGGGGCTGCAGACTCAGTCTGGAGCTCTCGCCAGAGTTCTGCAGTGGAGCCGAGTCTGGAAGGAGCCAGGGGCAGGGAGTGGCGTCTTGTGGGTGGGAGAGGCAGGCAGGGGCCGGTGGACGTGGAGCCATGGGGTGGGCGGAGTGGGAAGCTAGACACAGACCAAGGGGCCAGAAGGTGCTGGCTGGAAACCACTGAAGGGCCCGGGCGTGCATGGGTGGGCGTGGGGTGTGCACTTTGCTGTGGGAGGTGTTGGGGTCTCGTGTTCTGTCAAACGATGACACCTAACCGAGGGACTGTGGTGACAAAAGTGAGATTCCACACACATGAGCTCCTTTGTGGTTGAGCTGCAGATTGCTGGCCCTGTGACCGCAGGCCGTGTGAACGGTTTCCTCGGACTTTGCACGTGTCCCTCTCCTTCGTGGCTGAGTTGCAGGCCACGCAGTGCGTCGCTGGCTAAGCTTCGGGCTGTGTGCGTGTTGCCGTGTGCTGTGTGACTGCGTACCGCATTGCTGCCTGAGCTGCATGCTGTGTGACCTGCCGGTTGTGGGGCTGTGTGCCATGGGACCTTGTGTTCATGTAACCGCGTGCCGAGCTGCAGGCTGTGCTCCACGTGACCGTGTGGCTGTGTGACCGCGTGACCGCCTGTTAGTGTGGCTGTGTGCTGAGCTTTGAGCCGTGCACTGCATGACCGGCTTCGTTTCTAGGAGCTTCGAGAACAACTGGAAGATTTACAAGCTCCTCTCGCACCAGAAGATCTCCAAAGAGAAGGTAAGGTGCGTGCTTGGCTGGGCCCGAAGCCCTCATCTCTCCACAGCCTCCCTGCCGACCCCAGCTGCGGATCGGCCCTCGGCCCACCCGGTGGTGGCAGCTTCAGGGAGCCCCTGAGAGAGCTGGTGCTGGCCCCACTGAGCAACAGCGCCCCCTGGTGTGGTCTGATCTGTGCGCCAGGTCCCCATGGCCCATGTCCAGAGGCAGGGAGCGCCAACTGCACGTTTGCCTGGCTGCTTTGCAAGGAGCTGGGGGAAATCTAGGTCAGGTCAATATGTTTAACTCGGAGTCATGAAACTTGCCAAAATTGCTAAAAACCTCAGGAAATGGGCTCTCTTCAATTAAGGCTGATCAAAGACTCATTTTTGAATGAGTGGGTGTATCTGCATGGGGATGGCAGGTGGCGGATGCAGAAGACGTCTTGGCCAGAGGCTGGAGGCCAGGGATGGGAGGGGCGCTGAGGACCGGAGTCCATGAACAGCCAAGAAGCTGCCTCCTCGCTTGGCTGGGCTGGGTGCCTGCCTCCCATGGCCAGGTGGAGGGTGCTTGTCCTCCACCCGAGGCTCTGCCATCCTCTGCCACCAGGCCCTCCCTCTGTGGGTGTTCATCCCTGGGACAGGGGCAGCCAGTAGGTCCCCTCTGCCCCAGTCTCCTCTCTGCCCATGCCCACTCACTGCCTCCCTGGGGTGTCGTGGGGGTGGACACACCCCTCCACAGCCCATGTGGATGAGGTGGCAGCACACATATGAAGCCAGCTTTTGGTGCCACAGGACCTGCCTCGGATGAGGGACTTAGCAATGCCTAACCTCTGACCCCCTAGTCTCTTCGTCTGCAAACTGGGGATGAGGCCAGCCCTCCACTGGGGGGAGGGGGCGTGGTGTGGCGCCGGGCACAAAGCAGCGAGCCCTGGCAGGTCACACCATGGGCGTCCGCCACCATGAGAACTCATCACTGAGTGTCCTGTTTTCTCCAACCCCCTTTTCTCCCAAACGCTGTCAGCACGAGGCTGGGGAGACAGAGGGGTCTCCATCTCCCTCCCAGGATGGGTCTGGGGCAGGGCTGCCGCTGGGGCAGTGAAGCTGGCTGGGGTGCTGGGATCTCTGGTGGCATGGAGCCACCAGCCCCAGGTATCACAGAGCACTCGAAATGCAGCTGGTCCGAGTTAGATGAGCTTGTGCCAAACACACTGATTCCAGAGACTTAGTGTAAAAACAGGACGTATGCTCTCGCATCAGTGACTCGGTACTGATTGCAGGTCGAAGGGATCATTTTTCAAATGTTTTGGGTTCAATGAACTGTAGTTTTAAAATTGCATTCAATTTTTTTCTTTTTGGAGCCCCTGGGTGGTGCAAATGGTTAAGCGCTCTGCTGCTAACCGCAAGGTTGGAAGTTCGAGTCCACCCAGCGGTGCCTCGGAAGAAAGGCCTGGCGATCTGCTTCCAAAAAATCAGCCATTGAAGACTCTGTGGAGCGAAGTTCTACTCTGACACACATGGGGTTGCCATGATTTGGAGCCAACTCGATGGCAAATGTCGTTCTGTTTTGTTGTTTTCTCTTTACTTCCTTACTGTTGCCTCTAGAACATTGGGAATTACAGCTGTGCTGGCCTTCTCTCTGTGGGGAGGGCTTTAGGGGCTGGCACAGCCCCCAGGAAAGAAGCTATCATTGAAGGCTTCCCAGCAGGCGCCTCACAGCCCGACTCTGCAAAACGAGGTGCTAGTTGTTCTGACACGCTCTTGTCTCCTTCTGCTTCTCTCCAAAGACCAATTTTTGCCTGGCCATCCTGAATGTGGGCGCCCCAGCGGCTGGCATGAATGCGGCTGTGCGCTCGGCCGTGCGCTCTGGCATCAGCCAGGGCCACACAGTCTACGTCGTGCATGACGGCTTTGAGGGCCTGGCCAAGGGACAGGTAGGGGCTGAGGGCTGGGGCTGCTTCCCTGTGGGGGCCAGGGCTGTTTCCATGTGGGTCTGGGGCTGCTTCCCTGTGGGGCTGGGGCTGCTTCCCTGTGGGGCTGTTTCTCTGTGGGTCCAGGGCTGCTTCCGTGTGGGTCTGGAGCTGCTTCCCTATGGGGCTGCTTCCCTGGGGGGCTGGGGCTGCTTCCCTGTGGGGCTGCTTCCCGGTGGGCTGGGGCTGCTTCCCTGTGGGGCTGCTTCTCTGTGGGGCCAGGGCTGCTTCCGTGTGGGGCTGGGGCTGCTTTCCCTGTGGGGCTGGGGCTGCTTCCCTGTGGGGCTGCTTCCCTTTGGGGCCAGGGCTGCTTCCCTGTGGGGCCGGGGCTGCTTCCCTGTGGGGCTGGGGCTGCTTGCCTGTGGGGCTGCTTCCCTTTGGGGCCGGGGCTGCTTCCCTGTGGGGCTGCTTCCCTGTGGGGCTGCTTCCCTGTGGGGCTGCTTTCCTGTGGAGCTGCTTCCCTGTGCTTCCTTGTGGGGTTGCTTCCCTGTGGGGCTGCTTTCCTGTGGTGCTGCTTCCTTGTGGGGCCGGGGCTGCTTCCCTGTGGGGCTAGGGCTGCTTCCCTGTGGGGCCTGGGACTGGTGTGTTTTTTGGCTTGTTGATAACTTAGCCCCAGTTTGCTTACGATGTGAAGCCACGTGAAATGGCCTAGTTCAGATGAATGAAGAAGGCAAACCAGAGATCCTTGTGGTGGGGTAGCACCCCAGGTGGCAGAGGTGGGGGTGCTGGTGGGCCTGTTACCCATGCCCACCCCAGGCACTCAGGGACCAGGACCATGTCTGCAGCCCTGACCTCCAGTGCAGGGACCTCCCCTAGCCAAGGAGGGGACAGCTGCTGCGAACTGGCCGGCCCGTCCCTCCTGAAGCTGAGCCTCTCCTGACAGGTGCAGGAAGTGGGTTGGCACCACGTGGCTGGCTGGCTGGGGCGTGGCGGTTCGATGTTGGGGACCAAGAGGTGAGCTGCTGCCGAGGGACGGGCTCTCTGGCCGTGGGGGTGTTGGGGGCTGGAGATCCCTGGCATGGTCTCCAAGCCCAGGTATGGGGGGTGCTGGGGGTAGGCAGCCTGAGGCCCTGGGGAGGGACCCCTTCGGGGCAGGTGTCCTGCTCTGAGCAGGTCACAGCCCATGCCCTCAGGTGGGGGCCTCCTAGTGGGAGCTCATCTGACAAGGTCACCTGTGTAGGGTAGGCTGCTCAGGTGGCCCCAGCCTGCAGTGGGCACTCAGCCAGCACCCCCGTGATCAGGAGGGAAGAAGGAGAGGTGTCCATGCACGTTCTGCCGTCTGTGGTCATGTCATGTCAGGGCCTGGTGCTCTGTCTGTACCTGCTCAGGGACGGCAGGGTGGGGGGAACCGTACAGACCTGGGACCCTCCCTGGAGTGGGCATGGGGAGGGATCATTGCCCCGTGCAGCTGGAGGAGCTGGCTGCCCCATCCCACTCTGAGTGGCTGGAGGGGCCCGAGGAAGCATCTCGCCCTGCCTCTAGGGAAAAGGAGTGGTGGCTGCAGGCCAGGCCTGTAGGAAGCCAGTGGCTGGCCCAGGTCCCTGGGTCCTGGAGGTGAGGATGAGGGCTGGGTCCCTCAGGGCAGAGGCTGGCACTGCAGAGTGGGGTACTGAGTTTGGAAGCTGGGGTGGGAGGGAGGTCTCAGCTGCCCCTCCTGACTAGGGGGAACCCGTGGCATTACATGCCCCTCCCCAGGTGCCGAGACTCTGTCTTCCCATCTCTAAAGTGGTCATCATGCTGCTGCATCCCGGGGGGCTCCAGGGACTCACTGGTGTTGGGGATAGCCCAGGAGTGGACTCTTATACTCGGAGGGAATGTGATGTGCCTCCTTCCAGGCTGGTGTCCTGGGCTGGGGTGACAGGCGTGACCCGTGTTCACGCGTGTCCCTGCGGTGATTGTGTCTGGCTGTAGAACCCTTCCCAAGAGCTACATGGAGAAAATCGTAGAGAACATCCGCACGTACAACATCCAAGCCCTGCTGGTCGTCGGCGGGTTCGAGGTGAGTGGGCTGTCTCCGGTGACAGAGCCGGGGGCGATGAGAGCACAGCAGCGGCTCCCCTCTGCCTGGGGCCCCTGAGGTGGCCCTTCTGGAAAACCTACGTGTGGGGAGTGTTTCCACAAGCCAGCGGGGCTGAGCAGGGCGCCTCCGCAAAGAGTGTTTGTAACTAGGGGCGGGCTGGAGGTTTCCCACCTGTCACTGAAGGTTTCACCAAGTCCAAATCGGTGCTGGCAGCTGGTGCTGGGGGCGCGGGGAGGGGAGGAGAGAAAGAAGGAGGAAGAGGAGGGAGAAGAGGAAGAGGGGAGGAGAAGGGGATGGAAGAGGTGGAAGGGAAGGAGGAGGGGGAAATAGGAGGGGAGGAGGTGGAAGAGAAGAGAAGAAAAGGGAGGAAGAGGAGGGAATGAAGTCGGGGAGGAGGGGAAGGGGGAGGAGGTGGAGGAAGAGGAGGATGAGGAGAGAGAGGAGGATAGGCAGGCAGCACCTGCCTCCTTAGGGCTGAGCCTCAGGAGAGGGAGCACTTCTGTCTCAGACGGTGGCAGGGTGGCAGCCTGGGGCAGGAGGGACCTGAGTGTCTGCGTCTGGTCGACTGAGGGAGCTCAGCCGAGTCCCTTCCTTGCTCTGGGCTGTCTGCAGTGCACAGCGGGTATTTTGCAGGCAGAGGTGTTAGAGGAGAGGTTTCCGCCATGGCCCCGGTGCTGGCCAGGCGAGCCTTCAGTCCATAACAAATAAACACTGGCTCTTTTTCCCCTTCCCCAAAAAGCCACGCTCGTTCAGACTGGCAGTGAGGCTGAGGTAGGGGAGGGTGGATGGGGGCTTCCCCCAGCCTAGGTCCTGTCTTGTCTCCTGGGAAGGAAGGCACCCTTAGAACACACTGGGCCCACAGGAGGCTGCCGAGCTCCTGGGTGTGACTCCTGCCACCTGGCCCAGTCCCGGGAGGGCGGCTGAGCAGGACTGCGGCCCCGTCCCTGCCCGCAGGCTTACGAGGGAGTGCTGCAGCTGGTGGAGGCACGCGGGCACTACGAGGAACTCTGCATTGTCATGTGCGTCATTCCGGCCACCATCAGCAACAACGTGCCCGGCACCGACTTCAGCCTGGGCTCCGACACCGCCGTCAACGCTGCCATGGAGGTGCAGAGCCAGGGCCCCCCTCCCAGATCCCACCCTGCTGGCTTCTTCTGACTGTGCCCCACTATTCCATCCCTCCTGCCCTGGGTGCTGGGGTGGGTCCCCTCTTGCTGGAGGCGTCCCTCACATGACCTGCTTGGGGATGTTCGGAGCTAAGGAGGGGCTCCTGGGGCAGAGCCGTCCTTGCTCCTGCCGCGTGGGGCTCCCACGCTGATTTCTTGGTTTCCCTGAGCCAGGGCAGGGCGTCTCCACATCAGCACTGCTGTTCAGCCCACTAGGCTGGGTGCCCACCTGGATGGGTGCTGCCATGGAAATGCAGGGGGCTGGGGGCTGGGGATCGGGGGAGGGCTGCATGAGGAAAGAAGACACCCAGAAAGACTACCTGTGGGTGAGGAGGTGGGGAGGCCTGGGGCATGGGACTTGGGGGGCACAGAAAAGATGGATGTACAAGGACCTGGTGGACTTGGGGGGTATGTTCCCATTGAGATGTAGGGGTGCCTCCCCCCGGAGCCCTCTTAAGGGGATTTTGCACCCCACAACTTTCCTTTTGAGTGCTTCCAGGGATAGAGCACCCCCTTTGCGGAAGTCCGTACTGAGGGGCACAGCTCCAGTAACTAGAAAGCTCCCCGAGCCCTGAGTGAGCCAGTTCTGGCCCCTAAGACCACCTGTGGTCTCACTGACCTCCCCTTCTGCAGCCCTTGGCTTCTCCCAAGTCCATGCATGGGCCACTTCACTGGGTGGAGAGACTGGGGTCCCTGCCTGCTGCAGGGAGGGCCACGGAGGCCCTGACAACCCTGTGGCCCTGCAGAGCTGTGACCGCATCAAGCAGTCAGCTTCAGGGACCAAGCGCCGTGTGTTCATTGTGGAGACCATGGGGGGCTACTGCGGCTACCTGGCCACTGTCACTGGCATCGCCGTGGGCGCTGACGCTGCCTATGTCTTCGAAGACCCATTCAACATCCATGACCTAAAGGTGCGCCAGCCTGCCCCATCCCCAGCCCACCGCAGACCACCTCCATGGCCCAGTGCACGGGGCTGGATCTGGTCTGCTCCTAGGGCATGTGCGGGGCTTGGCTTCCACCAGGCTGGGCACACCGTGAGGGAGGTCCCACCCCACTGCCGGACTCACGGCCTCTGCGGGCACTCCAGCCCACCAACCCCTGTGCCTTGTCCCCAGGCCATCCTCCTGGCCCCTGTGCCTCAACTGTGGTCCTTCCCACCTCGTCTGGACTCAAGTCCAGCCACTGCCCTTGGCCAAGAGGACTCTTCCTGAAGTGCCCATGCCCTGCCCAGCCTCAGGCCCCGCACACATGCCCTCACTCCCCATGCCTGTCATCCTCAGCATGTCTACATGCCCCCCCGCCCAAGGTGGCCCTGGGCCATGTTGTTGCTCTGCCCGTCATTTGTCTGGAATTCCTCCCCAGACAGCCTTGGGGCCGCAGACCAAATGCCTCTGTCCCCTCCTAACTCCCAGCCCATTCTGTGTGTGTCCCTCCTTCCCTTCAGGTAAATGTGGAACACATGACAGAGAAGATGAAAACAGAAATCCAGAGGGGCCTGGTGTTGCGGTGAGGCTGCTGGGGGCCTGGGCTTAGGGAGGGCTGGGGTCTGCTGAGCCACAGCCGAGGTTTCCAGACCCGAGGGGGCAAGGCAACTGAGCCGCTGGCCGAGGGGCAGCCGGGCAGAAAAAGGCCTTGGGAAAGCTTTGGGGGAGGATCTGGCTTTCCCAAAATCGGCCACCATCCCTTCTCCCCTGTGGTTGGATCCGGCAGGGGCTTAAGATTAGAGACAAGGCCTGAGCTAGTCCCCACTTACCCAGCTCCCCTGTGGTTCCCCCCTCTAGAAACGAGAAGTGCCATGAGCACTATACCACGGATTTTCTGTATAACCTGTACTCGTCAGAAGGGAAGGGCGTTTTCGACTGCAGGACCAATGTCCTGGGCCACCTGCAGCAGGTAGGTGAGGTGGCATGGATTCCGGAAGGTGGGGCCCCTGGTCCGAGCCAAGGCTTTCCATGTGTCAGGAGTCCAGTCCCTTTGTTTCCCTGCCTCCTTTCTGTACCTGGGGCCACGGAGTCCCAGCAGGGCGTCCATTTTACAGGCGGGGAGACAGGCCTGGAGAGGCTTGTATCTTGCTGAGGTCTTGTGGTTAGAAGTGGCGAGGCATTCGGACCCCGGACCCTGCTCCCCGTCCTTTGCTAGTTGCCCAGTCTCTTGTCCTCCTGTGACCACCTCCATTGCTCACCAAGTCACCTGGCCATCTAGGCCCTGGTGTCCCAGCACCTCACTGACTGCAGGATGCCGGGGTTGCCTGGGGTGAGGCCCAAGTCCGTCTGTCTGGCCTCCCGCTGCCGTGGGAGTTGTGGCTCATGGACGGAATCGCTGGGGTCACCCCGGCCCTGTCCGCAGCCCCCTGCCGACCGGAGGTGGAGAAATGGCCGGGCAGAGGGAACAGCCGAGTCTGGAGGGTGGGGGTATCCAGAAGCTGCTGTGGAAGGTTCCCTGTGAGGTCACGATGTGCCCACATTGTGGGGCTCATGAGCTGGTCCCTGGCTAGGTCTCCCCTGCCCCAGCCAGGCCTAGGTGGTCCAGCCAGCCCCAGGAACGTGGTGTCGGCCCCTCTGCTTGCAGGGCGGCGCTCCAACCCCCTTTGACCGGAACTATGGCACCAAGCTGGGGGTGAAGGCCTTGTTGTGGATGTCGGAGAAGCTGCGGGCTGTCTACCGAAACGGTACGTGCATGGGGTGTGGGCGGCGGCCATGAGCCCCACCTGCCCCATACGGCCTGGCCGCTGACACCGGCGTGCGTTCACAGGGCGGGTGTTCGCCAACACCACCGACTCTGCCTGTGTGATCGGCCTGAAGAAGAAGGCAGTGGCCTTCAGCCCTGTCACCGAGCTCAAGAAAGACACAGACTTCGAGTAAGTCCCACCCCAGGCTCCGCCCCCACCCGCAGGGTCAGGCCTCATCACCCCCCCACCCTGCTCTGCCCTACAGTCTTCAAAGGGTGGAGTGTGGGGTGGGGGTGACCACGAAGGGGAGCCTGGGGGTGCCAGGCCCCGGAGGGATGGGAACACAGGTCCCCAAACACCCTCACTTCACATCTTTCAAGTGCAGCGCGGGGGTGTAAGACAGCTTGTGGCGTTTGAGGGGGGCTTGTGCATGGGGGCCGGATGTGCAGGGAGCGCAGGGC